TACCACGCTAAACCATCGTAAATTTGTTTTTTACTACAAAACTCACAAAACTCTAGGAAATAGACTGCACGAAATCTTGCATGACGCCATTTGTTGGTATGGCCTCTTATTTACGACGTTTTTTAACCAATCAGCGCGCGAGAAAATTTACAATTGTGGTAAAAAATTGCATAGCCACGCGGAGGCTCTGTTAGATCCTGCGACCTTTCTTTTGCATAACTTAATTAGATACCGAAAGAGATAGTAGCTATACTAAGAAAATAATAATACAGCTTTTTCCGTGCTCCGTTCATTAACAAAGTACTTAGGAAGCGCCGTAAGCACTCTAGAATAGCTACACATATTTCGTGATGAAGTCCATTCCTGCGTGCTTTAACGAAGAAATATAGATATTTCAACATGATTATATATTAAATAACGATAGTCCGAAAAGTACCTGTTCCGCAGTTTTTACCGGTCCACCCTGCTGCACACACACACTTATAACCTCCAACCAGATCTTGACACGTGGCTCCGTTATAACAGTAGTTGGGTGTACAATCATCCTTGTCTGTCAAAACAAGAATCAAGCAACTGCATTAGGTCTAACCAGAATCAGTGCGAAAATCCTCGATGGGACTTTGAAAACTGGTCGCTAGATAGCGGTCGGTCGTTTAACACAGGTATAAATCAGTGCAAAAATCCTCGATGGGACTTTGAAAACTGGTCGCTAAATAGCGGTCGGTCGTTTAACACAGGTATAAATCAGTGCAAAAATCCTCGATGGGACTTTGAAAACTGGTCGTTAAATAGAGGTCGGTCGTTTAACACAGGTTTTGTGTGCTCACTATAAACAGCTTAGTAAGTACTCACTTCTTTCACAGTAGGTTCCAGCCCACCCTTCCATGCACTTGCAAGTGAAAGAGTTGATCCCGTCTTCACACGTGCCACCATTTTGACACGTGATGCCTAGCGCTACACATTCGTTGATGTCTGAAATAAAAATAATATTGAGATCAAGGTCAACTGAGTTGTCAGTTTGAATTGTTTTTGTCATTGTAGAGCCCGAAGTCAGAGAAGCCATGCATATTGTAGAGTAGGTACTTTCAATACTTTCGTCCGACTCCGATTCCGACTCCGACTCCGACTCCGACTCCGACTACCACGAAAGTAAAAGCCACTAAAATATACTTAATACTTGTTTGATGAAGCCATAATCATAAACTTCACTTACTCGTTTCACATCTCTTTCCAGAGAATCCTGGAGGGCATATACAAGAAAAGTCGTTGACGAGATCGCGACATGCCCCTCCGTTCATACAAGAGCCAGCTAAACAGTCATTAATGTCTGTAAGAAAACAGATAATACTCTAAATTCCGTAGATAAATTTAATTATTATGTAGATATCGATGAAATACCAGATTTTCTCTAGTGTCGAAAACTTGATATCTTTCACCAGTGGAAGATACCATATCTTTCACACGTGAAGATATCACTGTTGAATCGGCTTGCTATTTTAATTAAGAATTTTTGAGCTTTTGTTTTATTTAAGTTTCATTAATATCTATATGATAAACAGAACATTACATGGCCGCTTGGAGATACGAATTTTATCTTCTCGTGTTTAATTTAGATATCTCACGAGTGAGCGCAGCGATATCAATTGAACACTCGAAGATAAAATTCGTATCTCCGCGCGCCCATGTAATATCCTCTATGTACATATTATTCAAAGTCGTCATTTTTATAGTTTATCAAACTTACAAATTCAGTCATGTTAGCATTGGTTACCATTTTTTTGGCTCACTTTCACACACACAAAAGTGCACAATTTGCAATTCTCGACTCTTTTGCTCACAACTCGTATTTTTATTTTCACGCGGAGAGAGAAACATTGGAGTACATGGAGAAAAGGAGCAAGGGAGCAAGGAAGATAGCAAAACCTTTTGGGAGCCCTTTTGGGAGCCCTTTTGGGAGCCCTTTTGAAAGACCTTTTGAAAGACCTTTTGGGAGCCCTTTTGGGAGCCCTTTTGGGAGCCCTTTTGGAAGCCCTTTTGGAAGCCCTTTTGGAAGCCCTTTTGGAAGCCCTTTTGGAAGCCCTTTTTGAAAGCCCTAAGTTGGGAGCCCTTTTGGGAGCCCTTTTGGAAGCCCTTTTCGCAGCCTATTGGAAGCCCCTTGTGGAAGCCCTTAGTTGGGAGCCCTTTTGGAAGACCTTTTGGAAGCCCTTTTGGAAGCCCTTTTGGAAGCCCTTTTGGAAGCCCTTTTGGAAGCCCTTTTGGGAGGCCTTTTGGGAGCCCTTTTGGAAGCCATTTTGGAAGCCATTTTTGGAGCCCATTGGAAGACCTTTTGGAACCCCTTTTGGTATCCCTTTGGGACACCTTATGGGACCTTTTATAAGACGGACTATTTGCTAAAAGCAAAATGTTCTTACTGATAGCACAAGTGAGTCCAGTGTACCCTACTGCGCATGTGCAGGAGAAAGAGTTGACAAGATCATTGCAAGTGCCTCCGTTGTCACAAGAGTTGGCAGCACAGTCTTGCATATCTAGAGAGACAGAGAAAAATAAAGGTTTAATTTAATAAAGAAAACTTAATACACCAAATTCATTGCTCCGAGACCACTTAGTTACCGTTGCTATGGTCCAGAAGCTCAACAAAATAGCTTGAATATATCTCAGAATTTGAAATGACTCTGATCACGAAAATTGATCATAAATTGTTTTGTTTGTTTACTGTCCTGTAAAAAATGTCTCCGTAAAACACCCGTATCGCAAGTTTTCAATAGAGCCCTTGCATGTGACTTCAAAGCAGCTCGATTTGGAGGACAAAACAAAATAATTTCAATCTCCTGAGAATTGGATACCTATTGTTAATTATTTACTCTAAACTTAGCTGTATTCCGACGTTCAGCAAGGGCTCAGTGTATGTATTTCTTTCTGGCTGACAGCACATGGTGGTCAGTGTTTAACCACCATTTGGAGTAGATAATGAGATTCAAAGACTTTTATCAGCTGATTAAAACCCAACAATTGCACGAATTCAAACATACTCTGTGTGACTTACTTGCAGCACAAGTGTTACCGGTCCAGCCGGCATCGCATGCGCAATGATAACCATTGACCCGATCAAGACACGTGGCTCCATTGAGACAAGGTTTGGCCAGACATTCATCGATGTCTAATAATGATAAAAATGATAAGGAGTAGAAAATCAAAAGGTTTGGTGTAACACAAAATGTATTAACTTACGAAACGTTTACTTTAGACCTCTTCAAGATTCCTTCTCTTTCTCTTGCTTACGGTTTCATTATATATTTGCAAGGGCGGATCCAGGGGGAGGGTCGAGGGGGTCGCGACCCCCCTGTCATTCCTGAGGTCAAATGGGCTTCCTGTGGTAAAAATGCGCCTGGGATTCCCTTGCCCACAAAATTTACCCCTGAGACCCTCCCTTCAAAAAACCCTGGATCCGCCCTTGTATTTGGGTATCAAACGAGGTACGTCTTTTTAACATTGTATGCGATTGAAGAGAATCAAACATATATTGTCGTTGGTGTGGGATCCCTGTGGTTTTAGACGTTTTGGGCTTCCTTTATCAAAGGCCAGGCTGCTAACTTAAATTCAAGATGGTGCACAATTTCAAATGTTTCTTCGCTATAATATCTGCAAGTTTTTAATCATATTTTCTTCATTTTAAAGCTTTAAATGACAGAAAATCGTCAAAAACAAATCTATCTTCACTTCCAAAGAAGGTAAGCTTATCAAATATCGATATTGAGTTGGCGGCCACACGAACGACAAGTTTATTTGGAGGAAAGTTTTATATTTATGAATGGCTCCTCTTACCGAACTCGCATTTCTTTCCCGTGTATCCTGGTACACAGTTACAGCTAAATCCATTGACAAGGTCTGTGCACTCTGATCCATACAGACAGGGGTTGGGCAAGCACTCGTTGATGTCTAGATTTAAGTATAATTAGTATGAAGGGAACTGTTAATGAGTGCGGAGAATGTAAACCCACAGAAAAAAATTTATAGAGTATATTTACAGAAGTAAGAATGGTATCTAGTCGGAAGAATAGACCGAATCAAAATATGGCGACCATTTGGAATTATAACTATTATTCTGCACCGACTAGCGGCTGACTAGCCTCGTGTTAACGTGACAAAATAAAAGCGTTTTAACATGTATGAGAGGCTAGTAAGTCGCTAGTCAGTGTAGAACAATAGTTATTCAAATTGGTCGCCATATTTCGGTTCGGTGTATTATTCGCCATTTTCCATACATCGGTTCACTGGTCAAACACTGATCATTCAGTCGAGGTTGCAAGGTTCAAATTTGAATAATCCTTTGAAAGTRCCTTGGCGACTTGCTTGAGCGCTTTGTGTTTGACCAGTGAACCGATGTATGGAAAATGGTGAATAACTTAATAATAAATCGAGAATGACAAGGTTTCGATGCTATCGAGCATGATTTTCACGAGTGTTTTGTTAAAGTCAACTAAATTGATGGTTTTCACGGCGGCCGTGTTGGAGGAACTTCACAAAAGAATTGTCAATGAATTCTTTTGTTATATCCTCCAACATGGCCGTCGTGTCTTTTATTATTTCATTCTCTTGGGAATGGTTGAAAAACATTCAATAGCAAATCAGTTCATTGACTTTAAAAAAACAAGTTTGAAAATCTTGCTAGATGATTTGATTAGCGAAAACGATAAATTCCTGCTCCAGATATCACAGATGAAAAAGAAAAAAACTCCATGAAATCTTAATGTCATAAAAAATATTTTGTGCACGTACTTGTTTGACATCGGTTTCCTTGGAAACCAGGTGGACAGCCGCAAACGAAGCTGTTGGGTGCAGGTGAGCACGTTCCTCCATTCATACAGGTGTCAGCGGCACAATAGTTGATCACTACAGACAAACAAACAAACAAACAAACAAACGTTAACGTTGAAAACGATTGAACTGGAATTTTTTTTATTGGCTAATTTTTTATAGACTAATCATATTGTAGCTGGTAAGGTTATATCGAACCCTGAAACAACCTCTTGGCTGATCTAAGTCAGGGCACGGCTAACTCACAGATTGAACCCTGGAAAAAAAAAACTCATCTCAAGGTTGCGTGCGCATCCAAATTTAAGGAACTTGAAGGGCCACGATACCAGAGCACGAGTATTATCAAGCACTGCTATGAATTTGTTGCGATAAAAATTCACAAAATCAATTATTCTTCTCTTGAAATATAAAACTKTCTTCCCAATTTTACTGAATTTGTGTTTTTCAGTTTTGTTSCCCGTCAAGTTGGATGCGCACRCAACCTTGAGAWGACGKTCTAWTTGAATTTAACATGTTGGGTTATGTGGAAGAAGCAAAACAGGAAAAKCCAGAGAAGACCCTAGAATCAAGGGAGAGACCCGGCAATCTCTACTCACATGTGATGCCGAGCGAGTCCAGGAATTCAAGGTTTCAAGGTTTTTTATTTCCCAGAATGAGAATTTTATACTTTACATCACTGTTAAGAAATTTAACTGGGAGGAGCAGAAGAAAACAACCCAAAAGGGTTAAGAGAATATTTCTGCACCTTGAAACTATATAATACTTTCAAATAAGAACTTAGAAGGGGGAAAAGTAGCAAACTAATTCAATACACATAAAAAGTTATATACAATAAAGTGAAGTTTGAACTAAATTAAAGTAGGAAATAAAGTTAAATTGAAGCAAAACCTAAATAGAATCAAAATTCTAAAGCAACAGATGTTTTTTAAGCTTATTTTTAAAGACTTTATAAAGTGGTATATCATTCCAGCTTGTGACTGCTGCATAACTGCTTAACACCAAACTTCCCATAATTCAGGTTTACTGGAGGGACATATAGATTCTTGTTTGATTTAGACCGCGTATTGTAATTGTGAATCAAATCTGTACCTTGAAAAAGGTTACCAAAAATATCTGGTAGATTGGAGTTTGAATGTTTGTAAGCTAGTTCACAGAGCTGAAATTTAGTTATTTCAAAAATATTTAGGATGTCAAGTCGAATCGATGTCAAGTCGAATCGAACCAGAGATCCTACAGATTTTCTTAACGACTTTTATTGGGTAATAGCTATAACTAAGCGAGTGCACTATTAATACACTACGCTTGATTTCCCAGATCATATCATGAAAGCTTTGTTATCATATGACCCGTACGGCCCTGCTCGCGCGCTCTAATAAAACCATTGGAAAAAGTCACGTGATGGGGVCCGGACGGGTTGACGTAAGCGGGTCGGAAAAACCCGTCCGGCCCTGCTCGAATCCGCGCGCTTTCTTTTTCTTAATTATTTTTATTTTCGTGAGGGTCATATGATAAAATGCTTATTGACTGAGTTATCCATAGTACGACAGACATTTAATTATACACATAGATTCATATTACTAAAACCCAACACAACAAGATGCGATGTCATTATCATGTCATTATCATTGTCATCATGTAATAATAATAATGATAATAATAATAATAATAATAATAATAATAATAATAATAATAATAATAATAGTAATAATAATAATAATAATGATAATAATAATGTTTATTGAGCTCCAATTCCCCAAGGTTCAACGGCGCTTTACAAACATATATTATATAAAAATGGATTTTAGGAATCGTTTAAAAGGCTTAAAAATAAGAAATACAAATATATATATGCACTCGTGTATATATGTTATCTGCACTAGGGAAACTTCAATGAACCGATATTTTGCTGACCAATAATAATAATAAAATAATAATAATAATAAATTATGATTTATATAGCGCTAAT